ACCACCTATGTTTGTTAATCTACAGAGTTCCAGTCAGGAACAGTCAGAAAGCTCAGGCACCTAAAAGTTGTAAACTAATCAATTAGAGCAATCTTAAAATCGGGTATGGGGTATTCAATCTCAACTTCCCTAAAATGAACTAAATGCCTACCTAATGTGTATTAAGTTTTTCCATAACAGAAATACACTTTCATATGAATTTCTGTATAGTACTGCCATTCCTCTAAAAAGTCTGGGAAACAGATGACATGAAATCTACACCAAAGGTAGTTGAAAAGTCCATTCATAAAACTTTTATTCCACTTACATCAACTTAATACACATGTTCTGAACAGTTATGCTTGGATTGTTCATGAAAATTTCATAAGACATTAAACAAAGCTAGCCATCATCTCAAGTTATTTCCCTGTTAACTATTTTTACAGCACATGCATGTTAGGCAAGTATCAAAAAAAAAAATCACAAAAGCAAAAAACCTAAAAAAGTTAAATACATGGGTTTTTGTTTTACTGCTGTGCTCGATATACAGTGTCATTATGAATATCAAGCAATTCATTTTTTACTGCATCTTTACTTGTACATTTGTTCTTAGGTTGCTTAAACCATTTAAATACAAATAAAATGTGTAGCAAAAATAATGAAAGCAACAGCAGGTAACTTTACAAATAATGGAATGTGAACCGTTTCTCTGTCCTTCTCTAGAGAAAGCTGACTGGGTTATCGAACTGTCTTAAGGAACACTTCAGCTGCAATCAAAGATGTACACTTGATTGGAATATTCCACAGATGTCACATGTACACCTGACATGCAATATCTATGGGACATCAGTTATCCACAGCCATGTGTGCTCCAGCTTGGATATTCAGACTAACTACACCTGTGGCTGCAACATTGATTATCCCTTTTTTCCATCGTGACAGACCAATATGCAAGCAGTCATCTTTGCCTGACATAGAAAGCTGTTTTAACACTGGCCTTGTGGGAAGCCACAATGTACCAAAAGTACTATGCCAAACATGTAAAACTTGTATAAAAATTTCACAACCCTATATTGGCCACCTCAGATGAAAACAGATAAATTCCCCAAATGTTAACTGGCTCTATTCCCCTAATATTAAACAAAACCACATGGGAAATATAGAAATCCAAATAGAAGTAACATAAACCTGTCAAATCGTAAACAAAAACTATTTGTGGGACAGCATGGATGACAAATGGTCTACTGTTTAAATTTCAGAATGAGGCAGACGGAACTTGGAAGGCTGGTTAATTCTCCCCTCCTTCTCCTGCTTCGGCTTCATCTCCTTGGGTATCCGATGTCCACAACTGTTTAGGAAAGAAAACAGAGTAACAGGTACATTAGTATACACTTATTACTAATAAATAGTAAGTAATTTTTAGAAAGAAGGCTTATGTGTTAATAGTAACAACTTCTAAGAGAGTACTGTGGAGAAAGAAAAGGCACACCGTAACATGAATCTCTTTCTTGGCCATGGCAAGATGGAAACTCAGTTCTAGATGACCCAACCCCACACTGCATTTAATGAGCAAGTTTATGAACAGTCAAAACCCAAGCCTCTTACTCACAAAGCTCACTAAAATATGACTAACAAGCAGGCAAGAATCAGACCTACTGGATCAGCTAAATGTTTTCTTTCTCCTCAAGCAAGTTTTATATCCCTTTCTGAAGGTTTTTTCTGTTTTTTAAACCCCAAAATATTTCATAAAAATCTCTATCCCTTGGCTCTGTTCAGTTAGTTGTGCTCCCCTTTAGCAACTTTCAGAACACTGAAAGTTGCTAAACTTGGGCGGGGCAAGGAGGGAAGAAAATCAGGTTAAGCATGCACAAAATTTTATTTTCAGCTCCATAAAATCATACTAAGGAGCCATATATCAAGATCAAATACTAGCTAAGGAAACTAACCATCAGCTCTAGAGCAATAGTCATGGCCAAAAAATTATTTTGTGAACCAAGTATCTCCATGCTGGCTGCTTCCAAACTATTCCCAGCCCTGTACAATTTGTCATCCCTCACTTTATGGAGTCAGAGAAGCATCAACGCAATCATTCATGCTCTGTAGTATAAGATGGTGGAACACAAAACCAACTAATTCTCTTCACCTACAGTGCTATACCACTGAAGTCTTAAAGAACACCTTTATTTTTAAAATCCATCATAAGAAACATTTAATGCTTTCAGGAGCAGAAGGCAACAGTGAACCTGCATAAGACCAGTAGCCTTGTCCTTGCTGTGAACATAATGCATGGTATCTGCACTTAACCTTCCTTGCTGAAGGCATTAAAAACAACAAATTATTTCACTGGAGACAACAGCACACCAGTAGTCTGTTTCTAGACCTGCACTGCAATCTTTACTACATTGTAATATTACATTAGTCTCAATTTCAGCGCTATTCTTGTAAAGAAGAGTTAGTAAGAACAGTTTTATGGGAATTCCATCAGAGGTTTCCATCCTAAATCATCACCCCTAGAATACAGTCACAGTGTCTTTTAGGATGAAAAAGACTTTCACAATTATGAAGTCCAACCATTAACACCGCCAAGTCCACCATATCCCCAAATATCACATCTACACAAACTGAATACCTCCAGGGGTGGTGACTCAATCACCTCCCTGGGCTGCCTGTTCCAATGCTTGATAATTTTAGTGATGAAAATTTTCCTCATGTCCAATCTAAAATACACATCAATTAAGGTAAAAGGGCCTGAGTGCTTTGAAAGGGGCATTACCAATTTTACCAACTGAGATATTAAGAACAATTTAACAAATCTGCTGAGAGGGAAAAGGCATAGGAAGAAGGAATGACTTTTATTTAGGAAAAAAAAAAATTCGTAAGAGAGCAAAAAAATTATCTAGCAGTTCCAGTAAAATAGATGTTGACAGTATGTTAAACAGCACTCTGAACACTTCTTTGTCTTCAGTCCCCACTGAGAATGAACACAGACTTCTTCAGCCATACAAGATTTGAAGTAAAACAGAACCAACAACTGAGGAAAGTGCTAGTGCACAGAACTGATCAACATGCTGAACCACTGTCTAAAGCCCACATACCTCAGACTTCCACCACTTGCACAACTAGCAAAACAGACCTTTTTTACGTTTATGAAATTCACTATAGTCTTTGTCAGTCACACATATATATCTAAAGTTATTTTCTACCTCAAGAAGGTGTGGATAAACATGGAATCAATACAATTGTACAGATCATGCTAAGCATTTAAGGAAAGACACATCATTCATTCAAGAATATGGAATCTTGCATCTGTTTACAGCTTTATCCCTTGTAATGGAAAGCTCACATCAATTACCAGGCCTACTTCCCTAACTCACAGACTATGGTAGCTCAGTCCAACTTTTGTTCTTGAGTGAAACAATTTGCTTTCTAACTGCTATGACAAGCTTTACATTATTTTTACTGGGAAGCTGGCAATTAAAGTCATCTTCTACTCTCTGTTTCAAAACCACTCATTCAGAAGGCAGCTCTTGAGCAATCCCACTCAAGGGGACAGTACACAGACACAGAGCAATGCCAACCCTGTATTTGTCTCCAATACAGAGGTTGAGAAATCACTTCCATTTGTTTTGTAAGCAACAAATGGAACAATTACAAGTAGTTTTTGCTGCAGTGTTAAGTTGCCATTTCAGTGGAAAAGACTCCAAAAGACAAGAGAAATTAAATGTTAGACACAGAAGCAGAAAGTATGGCAACTCCAATTTTATACAATTGTACAATTTTACTCCTAGTTTTGGTTTTTTTGCAAAGGTCCCTAATATCAGAAGCACAAAGTGTTAACAAGGAGCTACAAGTGGCAACAAGAAGTGTTTCATACTTTTTATTTTCTTGCTTGCAGCTCTTCTCCCCACAGACCAAGGAGTGAACTAAACCATTTAATTACAATATTGCATGTTTGCTTATATTTAAGTTTCATTTGCTTTAGATGTTTATCTTTGCCAGTTTTAAAGTTCAAAGTAGGGTAAAAAAAGCCCACACACAAGATGAAGATTTTGATTATTATTCTGACAACTTATACCACAGACAGCTGTAGTCCAAGGAGGAGGAAAAAAAATAAAAGGAATTAAGACAGTTATGTTACAACTGCCATGGAAATAGCACTGATTTGCATTTCAGCTTTACCAAAACTGAAGCCAAACAAAAATCCTCTTAACAACAGGTCCTTAAATGGACTTGGTAGATGCTAGCTTTGTTTCCAGTTTTCATGTAGAATCTCTTCTTTGCAGATACATTCATGCAGAACAAGCTATATGAAAACTGATATAAGCTTTAAAGAGGCAAACGCTACTGTATTCTCAAATGCTGTTTAACATTGGGTAGTAGGTTTGCTAGTCACAGTCCAGACTCATCATTTAAACATGCTAGATTCCTTGAATAAAATAGCCTGAAATGTGGTTAACTTGTCATTTGTCAGAAAATCATGTTAATTAGCATGCCAACAAAAAAATTAAAAACTAACTAGGCAGGAAAAAGATTCAGCTCAGGGTGATGCACTATAGACTTGCTTCTGAGTGACAGACACAACTCCATGGCCAGGAACAAAAAGGGTAACTTGGAGTGCCAGGAAGACCAATCCTGTAATCTATATGCAAAGTTTGATGATACTCACTGTCAAGTTGTCTCTCAGTAACTGCATTATTAGCGTGCTGTCTTTGTATGACTCTTCACTTAATGTATCAAGTTCAGCAATTGCTTCATCAAAAGCCTAGTGTTATAAAAACAAACAACTCCATTAGCCATGTGACAAAAGGTTATGCAAATAATTTAAATGGAATTTCCCCCTCTTTGACTTACCGTTTTTGCAAGGGAACAGGCTTTCTCCGGCGAGTTGAGGATCTCATAATAGAACACGGAGAAGTTCAGAGCCAGACCTAATCTGATGGGATGTGTTGGTTGCATCTCCTTTTTACTGATTTCAAAAGCTTCTTGATATGCCTGTTGTGATTGCTCCACTATCCCTTTGGGTAAAAAACAAACACAAACAAAACCCACAACAAGTAAGTAATTCACACACTGTATCCAGACATACAATCAGGACTGTGCTCATACTTGCATGAAGAAACCATGTCAGGAGTGCCTGTGAATGAGCACTTTACGGAGTAAGTTGCAATTTAGCAAAGATTTTATTAAATTACATTTTCAAATAATTAAAAAGGAGGGAAGTTGTTACTGACCAAATCACAGGTTTGAGCCTCTTCCCAACACCCTGTGACTACTTGCATTTACAAATGTTTGCAGCAGTTTTGTCACACTGAAGTTAAAACCCACCATCTACTTGATGGAGTACCACAGTTTCAATGTGTTTAAACACTGCAGTGCATTAGAGAGCCACATTTTAGTCACAGGAAACACTGATGATCTTTGCCTGTCATGCTGAACCCTTTCAGTAACAGCCATCTATGAGTCTCCATTCAAATTGCTCTGCAAAAATAGTGTGGCATACCCCAGCTCAAATAAAGTATGTATTTTTAAAAGCTTCCAGCATAGTTCTATTTCCTATACAGAAGGAATAGTTCAGTTGTACAAGTTATTAACACCTGGCAAAAACCAGCAGCTACCATGTTTATATGAAGACTGAAGAGATCAACAGTTTCCTTTCTCACTGAAGGCACCTGAGCTTAGAGCTGGTTCTGCCTGCACGAGTCAGAGCTCATGGCCCAACACAGCCCACAAGCTGCTGGGGCCAGGGAAACGCTGAGCACAAAGGGGCACTTGTTCCTCAGCTCTCCACCAGCAGCTGAGAAAAAGGTGGGCAGAAAGTCATTCAATTCAGATGCAAAAATCACTCCAACCCTAACATTTCTAGATCAAACCAGAAATGCATCCAGCATGATGTCTGCAAGAGTGCAGTCACACGTATTTCAAAACAAAGAAAGGAATTCTAAGGTAAGGACTTAAAAGTACAGCAGGATTTAAGTATGAAGTTTTCAGACTCCAAGTCTGAAAACAACACCAATACTCAGGATGTCTATACAATCACTATTTGTTCACCTTTAGATATTCACAAAAATTAAAGCATCATATTGTTCTCCTCCAAATGGAAGAGTGAGGACATGCACTGCACAGTCATCAACACTGGTCTCTCTGCACTCATCACTAATAATGGAACGCTTCAGATCAGACAGCTGCCCTAATACTTTGAAAATGACTGGAAGTTAGTACATTACAGTTGAGAAGAACTAGGTTTACTGTAAGTTAAATTTTAAAATTGTGAGAAATGTTTAATTCTTGTCATAATGGAAAATCCTCAGAAAATGGTACTGTTAATAAAAGGCAAAACAAGCAGAATGAAAAATAAGTAACTTTAGGGAATGAAGCTGAGTTTCATGTTTTAGTAATTTTTCTTTAACATATTTTCAAAACAGAAAGTGTATTTTTTTCTCCTTATTTGAGAAAACAGTTACCTTTTGAGCAACAATTCAGAGCACTCAGTGTGTAATTCGAAGTATTCTGTTAATTTTTAAATCAGTCACACAGTATAAAAAAGTTTCTAACCTTGAATTCTTTAGAAAGTGCAGCTCCAAAGTTCAAGGATAAAATAGAGTGAGGTACCTGCTTGACATTCCTGTCTGCTAGACTGCCATAAGGAAGCCCCATTCCATAAAAATAAACAATGTGGTTTATGAAGATAAAAATCCAATTCCTAGAGTTGGAAGCTCTATATTGTTGCTGTATTTACTGCAAACGGCTGGAAGAATAGTGTCCAACTCAACAGCTATTCTTTCCTAAACAATAATGATCAACTGCTCTTCTTCAAGGTCACAGACAACATACAGGAAAAACATGTGACATGAAACTCTGGAGGTGGGGCATGAATTGAAAAAATGGAAACCCACTGGAAACTGCTCAGCCAGGATACTGGGTAAATAAACTTTAAAAGCACTTTAAACAAAGATTTTCACAGCCTAATTTTAGAGCCTGTAACTTAATCCTCAACAGGAACTTTGGGACTTGAAATATTGTACCTCTTATGCATATGAACAGAGATCACCAAAATTACTGAAGGAAAACACAGTAACTCTCTACAACAGATCTAAAGCACTGGTAACATACAATTCTGCAGTCACCAACACTGGGTCAGTGTGCATGCAATAAACATCAGAAATCAAATTGAGCCTTACATACTAAGTCTGAGGATCTTTGTGTAACTCCATTGTCCAGCATGCTGGGAAAACTGGGCTTCACTGTGTAATGTGGATACAACACATGCCAGTAAGGCAGACACACCTATCCCCCAAAATTATTCCATGTTTGCTTCCCATCTATGCCAAACTCAATCTAGTCTCTGAAGTGCCACAGATATCATTCTGTGCCATACTGGGGGGTTATTAGCTTAAGAGCAGCGCAAGCCAGGGGCTGCAGGTGCTCAGGAGCCCCACAAGGAGCCGAGCAGATGCTGCCGAGGGCAGACTGGCACCGCACAGCTCATCACGCATCCCCAACTCCTGTGGGCCTCAGGGCAGCCCAAGTGAGGAGTGTGACACACCAGGCTGGCTCTGTGCTCAAGTGTGCTGCTCCTCAGGGCACACTGCCAACAGCCCTGAAGTGGCTCCAGGAAACAGCCTGGCACTGATTGCAGTGAGCTGGATCTCAACTAATGCATTGCTCTGAACTGAAGGGGACTCTGCACGGAGGTGGCAATGCTGTTAGGGTGTTTCCAACCACAGCACGTAAGGAACTCAAAAAGTTGAGTACCTAATATTAACTTTTTAAGCTAAATTTAGGCAAAGGCAACTTACCTGTGATTATGATAAGCTGCTTACATGAAAACAATTCATTTGGACATTAAACTACCAGAAGAAATTACAGAAAATTTACAGAAGAAATTTTCTGAACAGTAAGATTAATTTTATTAAACCTTTTCTCCTCCAGGTTGTTTCTTGTCTCTTTGCTCACTGAACCTATGCAGACTTCTTATAGTCTGTAGAAACGCAGGAGAAATTGTAAGAATAAGTCTTCAGAAAGCTACAAGACAACAAAGAGGTAAACCCCCTGACATTCAGCCAGACAGAAATGCATAAACTGGTATTTCAGTGATAAACCAGATAAATGCATGCGGAAGTTGGAGACAATATCAAGATTTTGTGACTCAGTGTCTGTTTCACGCTTCCATCAGCATGTACATGGAAATTTTTGTAACTCCTTTAAAAGCCAACAATCTAGGATTTTCCTTCAGACAACAGGAAGCCTATTACTAAAGAAATTTACATCCAAATCAGAATTACTCTAAAATTAGAGTTGTCACCAAAAGCAATCTAGCTGGACAATGTTTATCCATGAGCAGACATACAATACCTTTCTTGTCATCTCCAGCAGCAACCTCAGCCAAGTAACGGTAGTAGTCTCCTTTCATTTTCAAATAGAAAACTTTACTTTCTGCTTGCGAAGCATTAGGGATCAAGAACTTTTCCAACAGAGACTAAAAGGGAAACAAAGAACACAGTGTTTTGAACATATGCTGAACCAACAATTCAATTATATTTCAATTTATTTCAAAGTCAAGACAGCTTCACTTCTTGCTTATTTTCTTCACATCCTACATAACATAGTCAGCTAGAGAACGTGTTCTGGATTCCAATTCCAGATATAAAAGGAATGCTGCATTGTGTGCTTTAATGGGGAGAAGGAGGCTGTGTCAATTTAGCAGATGAGTTTTATACGACCAAAGTATGGCTTTCTATAAGCCATTATAGAGAACCCTGGAAAAAATAATGTAGTCCAAGGACTCTGGGCAGAGGGTATACCATGGAAGAAAGTCTGCATCCACAAAATACAATAAAAGGATTTGATATATCAGTTGCCAAATCAGAGACCAAATTATTTTACATACACAGCCAATAAATAAGTCTCCTGAGCCCAGTTCCCATTAACTTGAATGCTCTATTGGCACCACCAGCAAGAAACCACAAGGTGAACCTGTATTATGGCGTTTCCAGTCAGCTAACCATCTGGCATTCAGCTCTGTAGCACCTCTATTTGACTTTATGTGCTACCCTAACAGGTATTTCCTTTATCTTCCAAAGCAAAGGTAGCTCTCTGGAGTCACTCCACCAAATCCTCCCCATGGGCTGACAGTGAAGACCAGGTTTTTCTAGATTATTCTAACTGCTTGTTAACATAGCAAGTTAACATAGCTGAGGCAGTCATGTAATTTAGCAAGAATTCCATTATGATAAAAAGAAAAAAAGGGAAAAAATTGCTAGCTCCAACACATTCAGTCAAATTAGGTACAGGCTTGTCAAACTTTGTGATATTGAGTGCTTGAAGTCAGACTTTAAAAGAAAAGCCAGTTATTTAAAAGTCAAAAAAGGTACAGCATACCTAAATAGTCAGAATTGAATCAGAAGCTGTTACGTATACTTGGTGAAGGCTATGCAAATAATTTTTAAAGGAGGTTTTAGTACAAATTTTTTTGCCATCTCTCTCTTTTTTTTTTCCTTCCCTGTAAATTAGATGACTGACATTACAGTTTTCCTTCAGTTTTTTAGCTTTTCTTTCCAAGGATACCACAGAAAAGGACAAACTAATTAAGTTCCAACTTACAGAATGATGGCTGCTTTAGAGCACTTTCTCTCAAGGCCATTCAGCAGGTTAAATGAACCTCTTACAGGACATATTCCTGGGATAGGCATACCCTGGACATGGTAGGCTGCAACTACTGCACTGTGACATGGGCACCTGCAGTACCTGCTCTGCTTAACAGGCCAGCTATTAAGCCACAGAAAACTGTCTCAAAATTCACAGGAAGAGCACAAAGAGCAAGTCTAGTTTTGGCTTTTGTTTTGGTTGCTTTCTTCTTTAATCAAAGTACTGCTAATCCACTTATATGAATAGTGAATATCTACTGGTAGATTTAAACTTGCATGAAACTCCTCAAAATGAAGTGACCCATCACAGAGTATCTCTCATCATTTCTACTGCAGCAGAAAGATAATAAAGAAATCAGGCTGACAGGCACGAAAGTCAGACAATATTCAGCCACACCTATGCCACAATGAGGTAAAAACCTGTAAGTGGACTTTCTTTAGTGGCTTCAACAGAGTGGATTTATTTGTTCATCTTTAAAATTAGGCCTTTCCAGTACTGTGGGACTTGGTATATAACTTTATTTTATAACAACACAGGGAGACACTGAAAAATACTGCATGTCCTCACTTCCCATCCAAATGACAGCACAGGCAATTCTTTGGCAACAGAAGGAACTCCACACAAGCTAGTCAGCAACACAAGTATTTTTCTGGAGACAGTCAAAAGGGCTGCCAAGCTGCCTCATGCCAAAGGCACCCTTCTGAGGGCATCCCACCACACCAGGAGAAGGGTTCAGAGCCAGCTCTGTCCCAGTGAGGCTGGAATGTAGCAGGGGGCCAGCAGGTTTATGGGTCACACACCTTAGCTCTCTGTAACTCCTTATACACTCTGTCCTCAGTAGAGAGTTTCAAGGCTTGCAGCTACATCTTCTTGAGTTCCAAGAAACTCCAATGACAACTGAAGGTTACCAGCTGCTGTGAACAAGGCTCCTTATTAGCTTTTATCTGTGAGATTTCAATTAATCCAGGTATGTCAGTCTGCACTTATACTTCTGGCATTGTGGGGAGTTGCTCTCCTTCTCCACCCTCCATTAACTGGCCAGATCAAAATATTTCCAGTGATTCCACAAACAGAAATTATTCCTCATCTGTATAGAAGGTCATTTGATTAAAACGTACAGCTCTACTCACTGACACAGCAGCAAGCTCCAAGATTTAAACTTCACTTAGATCACAAATGAGGTAGACTGATGAACTGAGAAAAAGTCCCTTTGAACAGCTATTCACAGAATATAGCCCATGCAAAGAGACTCCAACTCAAACTGAACTGGGAGCTTACTCAGATTTGGATGAAAGAGTCTATTCTATACAAACAACACGTAGGACTGGTGTGCCACATATCTTTGGAAGAATTTGATTTATGCCAAATACTTCACAAACAGCAACAATAAAACCTGCAAGCATATGAATATTTAAAAGCTAGCATGTGAAATGATTGCAAAGAGATCTCCTCCCTATTATTTATTTAGTCTTATAAATTCAGTTTCTTCTGTTTGTATTAGTCCATTTATTTCAGAATCTATTTTACTTTAGTGGTGTAAGTAGACACAGACCACTCCTTTAAAGTTAGTCTGAAGGTTCAGGGTACACAGATTTATCCTAGAGAGTGGCTGTGAAAGCATAACCTACATGGAGGTGGTATGGCTACAGAAAGCCAGACAGGTAAGACCAATGAAGCTACCAAGCTTCATTGTTCAATTACAGAAGATAGAAGAATCAAAAGCACAGCAAATTTAATAATTTGTTATCTGCCAACACATCAGCTTATGGAGAATACTGTTTATCTTGTGGATTCTTTTAATAGCTTTTGCTTCAACTTGCCCACCTCCTCTCTCCTTTACCAGAGGACAGGGCAATGTTTATCAGTATGGAGCTGATCACCATACAGGCCACTAAAGTGGCAGCAGCTAGTCCAAGACTGGATTTACTACACTGATGTGATCTGCATCACTGCAATGCGTACAGTGCCCTGGCAACTGCAGTCCATACATGTCTGTGATTACATTATATGTAGTTAAGGTTTCATGCTTGTTCATGATCTTCCTGCTATGACATGAAACTCCCATCCAGGTTTGATATATATGAATACATGGGCAGTTATTTATAGCATCTGGTAGGAACATTTTTCTGAAGAAAACTAAACGACCATTCCCTGACCTTGAATCCCCCACCCAGGACACAGCAGTAATTGGCAGAGCTTTTAATTTGACAGCAAGGATCTAACTGTTGTGAAACAAACCATACCACTATCATCAACTAAGCAGACACAGCAGCATTTTAGAGGACTTTTCAGCCCAAACCTGTAACACCTTGTACTTTTTAAAGTCTTTTCAGAAAGATTTAATAAGTTTTTTTTTTAATTTTTTTTTTTTTAAAGGATATGTTTAAATCTGAGTATCAACTCTTACTAATATGCTGGCCATGCAAAGATCAGGCTTCAACACTTCACACCTGCAATTCTGGTTATGACTAAGTCAGCAGCTTTCTGGTTCTCTGGACTGGCCAACAAACATGTTTGAACTCGCAGGATGCCAGCTCTGCTCACACATACCATTGGTAATATTTGGTGTGCTCCCTCACCCTCAGCAAGTACTAGAGAAAAGTCTTTGTCTCCAAAGACATACCAGAAACTATCTGCACACAACTTGATTATCCTAACGGTGAACTTCAATCCTGGCTTGTTCTAAACACTGAACTGGAAACATAATGACTTCCTTCATTCTTACACATATTCTACTGCCTGAACAGGATACAGTCAATAGGTGGCAACATGAAGCTCATCACATTTTGAGCCACTTTGATGCAAGGCTCTATGTACCTTTTCCTGTGGTTTTGCAAGATAAAGTATGAAATGTTAAGAGTTATTAGACTTACCTAGGAACATGAAATAAGCCTAAAAAGTAGTAACAAAAGAAACCCAACAGCCAACCCTCTCCTAAAAGTCTGCCTGCTTCTTACTGCAAGTGGACATGCATCAGCTGTCAAACTAAGGTGAGGCCTGCAGCTGAAGATGGGAAGCCAACACAGACTTGGAGAGTCCTTTCCTGACACTTGAAGCCTAAAAGTACTCTTGTTTTAAAAGCATTTGCATCTTTGGCAAATGACTTGTGTAGGTCAAATCTACTGGGAAATCTATTCCCAAATCCACCATTAGAGCATTAAATAATTTTATTTTAATGCTCAGTTTTGCCTTGGTGCTTCTAGTTCAGTACTTATTTCCCTTTATTAAAGGCTTGGTATCAGTACATGTTATTGCTTATAAATTTTAGAGATGATTGTGCCAACAACTTGATTTTCTATTTATATATTTCCCTCCTGACAAGCAGAAAAAAAAGAATAGTCACCAGATTCTAGGAAAATGTAGTAGCAAGTAGCATAATACATAAAATACGTAGTTAAAAGTACTGAGAACTAGAAGCCTTATTTTTAAATATGCAAAAATTAATTATTAAGATATCTAACTGAATAAAAACGCGAGAACTACAGGAGAAATAAAAATATATTGTTCTTGCACAAAAGAACCAAGGTGCAGAATGGCAAAACTTGAAAAGAATACATTGATAAACTTTAGGTACTTTAAATAGTATCAGTTCTCTGAAATAATCTCACTTTTTGTTTAATAAATAAGCAGGCTTTTTGTTTTCATGCAGTATTGAAAGACACCCAACAATAGCTTTGTTTTTCTAATTTTGAGAATGAACTACACAAGAGTACTACCTGAACTTCAACTCACTTGTCACCCACCCATGGTATATGACATAGGGATAAAGATCACATGGAAGAACTTCTTTTTCTTTTTAATTCATGAAAGAAACTTTTGTTTTTTTAAGCTCAGCTGAAACTAATTTAATGACAACCGTCTGGTATTTTCATGATGTAAGCAGCATTCCACTATCTTCCTCCAAGACATTATAAGAACACAAGAGGGATCATACTGGCTGACAGGACTCCTCTGTCTGCTAATCTCACTGCAACACTGCCTGAAAGAGGATGCCACTAGGAAAACACATTAACAAAGCAAGAAAGCGCCAGGCTTCTCTTAGTCTCCATCAATGCCCAGGAACTTCCTGAGCCAGATGTGGTTTCTCTGGAGGAAGCAACCTTAAACAGGCTTCTTGTCCATTTTACATACATTGTTCGAACTCTCATCAAAATAACCTTAATACCCACAAAGCACCAGAGATGAAGCTGCAGATACCTGTCTACCTGTATATGAGTGTTACTTTTTTCTTTAAACTATTTCTCAGTTTCATTAAAAAAAAAAGAAAATAAAGGACACTGAACAATTCCCATTATAATCTAGCAAGTCATTTTCCATGACTGTTTTTCACAGGAGGATTAGGAAAGTTACAAGCTATAAAACAACACATGCAATTAGCTGCACTGCCCAGATTGGCACACACACTATAAAGGCTTTAATTAAATAATTTGTGGCCAGTCACTTTATTTACATCCATCCATCTGAATTGCTGGAGAAAAGAGATACATATTTGCATTTTTAAAAGGTGTATTTTTAGACAATCCCTTCCCAAAGCCTGTTTTAACCCAGGCTTACTATGCTGCTCCTGATTACAGTTCTGCCCAGAGTTTGGTATTAAGGGCTCTGCAACTGCTGCCTCATGGGTAACCTCCAACCCTCTTGTGAAAACCAAAAGAACTGTTCTCAGCCTTCTACTCCAGCCAAAAGTGAAGCCACACTTTAAAGTTAGCCACAGAATTCTTTCTACTAGTTTGTTCACTAGAATAGCAATACCAGAAAATCTGTCAATATTAGTGGCTGCTGAGGCACTGGAGATCTCTGCTGAAACATCTGCTGAAGAAGGAAATCAGCCTGCTGCCTGTGTCAGTACCAGTTATTCTTTCTTCCCATCCAATTGGCTGCCCACAGAAACAGCAGTTTGAGAAAGGTGGTGAGGCTGGCTGGAAGAGATGAAGCAAGAATCATGGCCCTCAGCAGGAGAGGAATTCAGAACTTGGGACAAATAATCTTCAAGGGGGAGGGAAGAATTTGACTGTGGAGTAATCTGCAGTGTTTATGCAGCAGTGGGAGATGTGATGTGCATAGGGACATGAGGAATTGCTAAGAGCAGGAGAAAGGTACACCTGATTAGCAGTTTTGCTGTAGTCAATCTAATGAAGATCTAGAAAGGAAACGAGTAGAGGAAATGAAGTCTGAGTACTAAGACAGTAACTGAAAACAAAATATATAAAAGGACTAATGGACAGAAGAAAATCCCATATGACAGAAACAATGGCAAGAAATCTTAGTTTATACATAAAGATACTACTAAACCAGTGTAAATGTGTTTCCTTAGAAAAGAGAACAAAAGCAGCATCACATATGGGCAGGCAAAGGAAACATGGAAGTAGCAGGACACCCTGAAAAATCATCTTTGTGCTGAGATATATGCCAGGGGAAAGATACAAGTCAGTAAGAAGTAGGTGTATGCACAAAAATGCATGCAGGATGCTTGGCATGGACACACCACTGGCCAGCAAAACAAGAAATGGACAGCACCTGAGGCAATGAGGAGCATCATCTCAGTTCACTCTTTTACCACCATACATGTAGCTACCTTTGCAGATCTGCCTTCCTCAACTTAGAATACCATGTCCTTTACTAGCTAGTTTCTTCTACTGTTTTGCTTTCCAATTAGTATTTATGGCAAGGGAGACAAGTGTGCCTCATATCAGGATACAGTCTTGAGATAATTCAAAAGACTCCTTGGGTGTTTCATGTAAATTGTTATTGTTTTTTACCAAAGCATGTGTAACAAAGATGCTAATGAAGGAACCAAATTCTGAAGCACAGGCAAAAATACCTCCCCAATTTAGTAACCCACTCTGAAGAAACACATATGAAAGGCAGCAGCTGTAAAGATACTTAATAGAAAAACATTAGGATTAAAGTCTTAATTTTTTTGAGGCATCACGATAGATCTTAACAAACAGTCTCCACTGAGGATCAAAGTCAACATGCAATTTTTACCTAGGCCTTTTTTCCTCAGCATCACCTCATTAAACTGCTTCTTGAATACTGGGGACTTGCATCAAAATAAAATGGTATCAGATGCATCAATCATTATTCTTTTCACAACACCCTCTGAGAGACTTGACGTAATAAAGAACTGCAGCCAACTGAGTTGGGTGAGAATTTCTGCCCAGGATGTAGGTCTCAGCTACAGCTATTGCAGCTGTACTCCAAACCAGAACACATCTTAAGCTGCCTTAAGACTACAGTTTTGGTCTCTAAAACTCCCCATAAACATGATGTAACACTTTCTATCCTTGCTCAGAAATAGAAGCAGGAGCCATTTATATTTTATCAGCTTGCACTCTGGGCAGATTTCAAACCTCCTGAAGCAGAATATGGATTGACTAGGGGTTTGCTATAGCACACAATGTTAATAAAAACATTTTATTAGGAAAAATGTCATCTTAGCAATGTAAACCTAATCTGGACTAGGAGAAAATAACCAGTTAAAAGATCAGATTATCTCTGTTAAATCTTTTGTAACATAATCACAAAGGGTAATATCCAGAAAAAAACCCACCACCACCAAAAACCAACTGACAACTTTTCTCTGCCTCATTTGAGCAGCCTTATAGAATCACAGAATCAAGTAGGTTGGAAATGACCTCTGAGATCATTGAGTCCAACATGTTTTATCTAATAAGAAAATTTAAGAATTTACTGTTGGTCTCAGCAGAACATGATTTATTATTACCTCTCCTTTGAAGAGGCATTGCCAACCTTCTGTCAGATTTCAAGAAAAATAATCCACTGCGCAAGAGTTAACATTCAGTTAAAAAAAATAACATGTTTAAGAAATAATCCTAATCTTAATTCTCTTCAAACAACTTTAACAGCACAAGCTTTCTCAAACTATTTAACAATGGTAGGCAACTACTGCCTGAATGAACAACCAGCTTCGGAGGCATCAGGATCTGATGTCTGTCCACAGCAAAGTACAAGTAAAGTATTTGAGAACCTGTTTCAGAAACACACTTTTGTCACACGCACAGTAATGAAACAAAAGTTTCCAGATAAAACCAGAGATCAAGAGTATTTGTCCATACAGATGTGCAGAGCTAATGCACTAACTCTGTTCATATTCTAAATTTTATGTTTCTACCACTTACAGCTTCCACAGGCACAAGAAGAAGCTGCTACATTAGCAATGCAGTGTTTCTGCTTCTTAGACTTCTAAGCAACCAATGAAGTTCTTCCTTCAGCAGCATAAAGATGAAGAGTTATCTGTCACAGGTGACTAAACTACCAACTTTATTTTGCTGTTTAGAACTGAGTATCAGCAGTAGATACATGAAGTACTTGAACAATGAAGGCTGCTGTCAAATAAAGCAAGTTGTCACTTCAATGCTTTTCAACAGTATAAGCACTTTGTACCTTTTTATTGTAAATCAAAGCAAATTATTAAACATTAATGCCAAATGAAGTTAGTACAGCAGGCTAGTGGTTATAATAAAGGTTTTTTCTACTTTCAATAAATGCAAGAGGATGTACGATACACGTACATACGTGTATACACATGTGAAAGCAGAGTTAATGTAAGAAGTAGCTGCATTTATGCAGAGCACTTTAGCTGATTTTATAATAAATGGGAGCATTAAACATACATGTCAGCATTATGGATGCCCTTCTTGCTAAGATTAAATTAAAAACAACACAAGTAATCTCATATTTAAAGTGATCCATGAATGATGTTTTAATTATCAAAGACTCAACAGTTTTCCAACAGTCTAATTGCTTAAAAAGGTAAAGGAAATTACTCTAGCGTAATCACTGCTTTCACTGCAGGCTAACAAAACCACCCCAACAAAAACCAAACCAACAACCCAAACAAAAATAAAAAACCAGCAAGAACACCAAACCTGAAAGGGTATAGCTACAATCAGGGAAATGACTGAAAGAATGAGGTTGATACAAACTACCTCTGCTTCCTACCTTCAATGTATATCAGCAATACCAACCAAACCCTTACTGAAAAAGCCAGACTTGGAGAGTTAATCAAAAGCTCAAATTATAATCACCCTTGTAAGTTAGAAAGTCCTTGCTATATTTTGCTCTGCAATATATAAAGTTCATTCAGAGAAGCATTTGTGAACCAGAGTACTCACATATTTTCACATATGCCACTAACACATTACCAATTACCATCTTTCAATGCAAATTTTAACAATTTGAGATGACATCTTGGGTTTTATGTTCAGGTTTGAGTTCCATAGCATAAGAAAAACACATATACTGAAGGGACTATGGGGCTGGAGCACAATGAGGTACAAGGCAAGGCTGAGAGAGATGGGTTTCTTCAGCCCAAGAAGACCAGCTGATTTTACTGCTGTGTACAGCTGCTGAAAGAAGATGGAACCAGACTCTTCCTTGAGGTCTACACTGACATCATGAGAGGCAGCAGACAAGTTGGAACATGAGAACACACACAAGTATTCTTTCCTTAACAGTAAGCATGAATAAATATTAAGACAGGCTGCCCAGAGAGGCTGTGTAATCTCCATGCTTAAAGATACTAAAAATTTGACTGACAAGGACTTGAGCAAAGTGATCAAACCAGATCTGTTCTGAGCAGAGTTGAACACAATGACCTCCCTTCTAACCTAAATTCTTCTGGGCACCTAACTCCTACATTTCAACACATCAATCACCCCCTTTTGTGACTGACATTTTTGCAAATAGAAGGTTCTACAAATGCCTCCTCTTTTTTTTTTTTCCTAAAAAAAACCAACACAAATCTGAAAGACAAAGTGCCATAAAAAAATAATTAAGCAAGCCTGAAGGAGTCACAGAACTGAAGGTAGTGATTTTCAGCCAGAATACTGAATTTTCTGTTAGTATTAGATACCATCATAGCAAGAAGGTTATATGGTATTGCCAGTCTACTAGTTAGCTGTGCACTTTAACCATGAGGACACATTATGCACACAGTGGCTGAGTTTTTAAAAGACATTTTACACATGTGCATGTCAAAAGCCATATGGCTTCCTGTAGACCAAATTTCATAACCTTGTCATTAAGAATTACTAAACATTTTATCAAAGTTAACATAGTAACTTATTAGACGTTTGCAACTAGAAAATAGTGCCACGGTAATTTGAGACTGATGGCAAAAAGCATTAATTCTGTGGTATGTTCTTTAAAAAGCCATTTAGATGCATTCAGAATGGAATTACACTCCCTTCCCCCAGTGAACTGCAGCCCCATGACAGGTTAGTAAACATTCTACTCCCCCTCTCAAAAATATGCATAAAAAAGAAATGTAAACCGAAAGTCACTAATCTGAGATATAACTGAACCTTATGCTCTCACAATTACCACTTGCAAAAAGTGAAGCATCCATAACAAGTGCAAAGAAATCTCAAATATGAGCACACAAGGAGTACCTTTTTACTCTCCTGAGGGTGACATTTGGAAGAAATAACGTAGTGAAAAAAGCAAAAAATTCATCTTACTGGAAGGTGCAAAATAATACCATTAACCTGCTGCTTTTCTGGCAGGAGTGAGGAAAAGTGCTGACTAGCATCTATCTGTAATAGTAACTCCAGAAAGCTGAAGGGCAGCCAAGGTCTGCAGAAGTTCTCCAGACCTTAACAACTAAAAGGGCAAAGAAATGGTGAGAGGGTGCTTGGGCAGTGCCAGAGGAGATTTGCTTAGGGCACTTCTGTGGTGGAACTTGGAGGGGGAAGCAACATCACCTACAAAACTGGGCATCGGGCAAGAACATGGGAACTGTCACATATTGTGCACTCGGAGGGCACGCAGGGACTGCTGCAGTATGTGCCAGCCTAGGGAAGAGTGTAACTGTCTGGAACCACATTCCTCCTAATGTGAAGATAGCCAGTCATGTTTTCAATTATTAGTTTACATTTAGCTCATGTAAGAGACTTCCTGAAAGCCAGCCGAGCTCCTGAGAACTTCCAGCATACAAGCAGTGCAGGGTGTTAACCTATTCAAAGGCCCCTCCATTCTTCTCTGTACTTCAGAACCCTTGTTAGTTGAAAAATTCAGCTTACTGCGGTTTAAATTTGAATCACTTCAGTTACAACTCACTATTCTACTAACAGCAAAAAGCAGTTTAAAGAAAATCCACACCTGTTATATTAATAACGATTTTTATTATGGAAATGACAAATAAAAGATTATTATTGATCATTATACCAGTACTTTAGACAGACCTTCCTTTCTGCTATAAAAACTGAAACAACATGAAGCACACACTTAGCTAACATGAGGAAAAGTAATTAACTAAAAGCTTAATTTTCTGTATCAATTGGAAATTTTCTATAATACTCAAGGCACTTTTCAGATACTCAAGTATGGCAATGTACTTCCTTACACACAGTAACACACACATTGCATCACTATTGAAGAATCTGGAAATACATCTTCATTGCCATGGTGCAGAGAACTTGTACTACACTCAGTGTGTCAATTATTTGATGTTTACTACCACTACCATACCAACTCCAAACTAGAGCTGGTTATTTTACACTTTGATATACTTAAATGCATATCTGACAGAATTGGTGGGGAGCAAGGTATTATCTCTTCTTTGTACAGCAGCACTCTGAGTCTGCACGAAACAGGAGGATGAGTTCAACTCTTTGTAGAGTTGTAGAAGTATTCCATGGCAAGCTGAAGGAAAAAAATATTCAGGAAGCAGCAAGGATGCAGATGCTATCTTTTCCTGTTGCAAGGTTGGTGTAAAGGAGAAAAATAAACATTCAGACCCAGCCACTTAACTATTAAAACTTATCACTGGGCACAATAGGGATGAAGCAAGAAAGAAGTTCAGCATTAATTGCTTCTATTCTCTCTGTGAATCAGTAGAAGAGATGGAAACGAAGCCCAGGTAGAGTTTAGTACAGTCAGTATCTACAGGATTAGAGGAGCTATTTCTTCCAGAACACTACATTTCATTCCAATAAGTGAGAGAAGAGAGCAGGAAGCTGCAGAGGAGCCAGCTTTGGCCACACTCTTCTAGTCACAAAAACATTCTCTAAATTGCTTTCCTCCCTTCAACACTGAAGTTAGGACAGCAGTCATACTCAGCTGTGATGTAACACCCCTGGGCATTAAGTATCACTTAAAACACTAGCAGACAATTGAAGACACAACAACAGCTCCAACAGAGCCACAGCCTCAATAAAAGATACAGAAGTTGCAGAACTGCTTTTGTACACTAGTAGGTAAGGCTCATGATTACAAGCTTTGAAAGTGTAATGTTTCAGGTCTTATTAGTTAATGCCATACTTCACACCAATTAAGACTAGCTAAGCCTTGCTTTTCACTTCTGTAAACAGTATAGACTAGATTATGCTGCATTAAAATAACAGAGATCTTCTGAAAAAAAACCCCAAACCCTCATTCTACATTTGCATGTAGCATTGTGCAGACAGACTCCTGCTCATAACAAACAACTGAATGTTACCACAGTTCTTTTTTCCTCTGTTAAAGCAAAGTGGATAAAGCAATACAGTCAGCCATATTTCTAGGTAAGAATGTACATGCATAGGATACTTCAAGAAAGAAAACAAAGAGTATGTTTTAAAATATAAGTCTAAATCTTCAATGCAATTAGCAGTATCAAAGGTAGCACGTATCATTTGAAAGTATTTTTAAATCCTATCATTTGAATACAAAAGTTTTACATTTTTCTTTTTAAATGCAAGTCTAAAAAAGTAGTTTCATTACTGCTAATCGCTTCACAAGGCATTGTTTCTTCTGGGCAGTAATTTTTCTTTAACATATTAAGAAAAATGGGACTGGCAATGTTAAAAACTAGTCAGTCATTAGCTTCTTAAAAACAGTAACATGTCAAAAACCAGCAACTTCTTTGAAAAATATATGTCTCATTAACACAAAGAGAAATTCAAGTCCATTCTGGGATTCGGATTTAAGACTCTCCACCCAAATTCCTTCCCCCCCGGCACTCTAGCTGCTGCAGCAAACTCAAAAGCTGGGTTTTGTTTTATTCTTTGTATTTAGCATGCACAATAAAAGCTAGTTTCACCTTTCAACTTACCAGACAAAAAACTAATAGCAAATACTAAATTCTTCTAAGGTTGTTAAGCCCAGATTTAATTAAAATAATTTCTTAAACCAAAATGTAGCTGACAAAAGACTTTCAGATCACCCTGAACTGAAAGCATCCACCCTGACTTTCCCATTAGTAAAATAATTAAAGAAAAAAATAACAAACAATTAGAATGCCAGATCTGGATCCTCATTTCCTTGGCCTGAATAGATGAGCCACCAGTTTACAACACAAGTACTAGTAAATCAGTTCTTTCCTATGAGTAAGTTCTGCGTTTCATTTTCAAAGTAGAAGAGTTATCCGTACACAAGATAACATAACATACAAAATTGGGTGTGTTACAATAACCGTAGCAGCCAGCCTGAACTGGAAGCCAAGACTCAGTT